GGGGTCGTTGCTTGTACAGGTGATCGTTCTCGTCTGGTTGTCGTTAAAACAGGTTCGAGAATAGGGCCAATATTTAACAGTTGTCTTTCTTCTTATACAGGTCAAGATGAAGCCGATTCCTCTGGAATATCTACGAGCCCAGCTTCGTCACGTGACTTCCCCCATGGACTTTCTCCGTCTCTTTTCCGACTCCCGCGTCAGCGATCAGCAGCTCGGTGATTGGATGAGGAGTGAAGGTCAAGGTCACGTGAACCACCATCCTGCGCATGCGCATTACCAGAAGGAGGCATATGATGACGATGACGTCATGGCCAGTGGTGATGGAGATTACGATGGTAGAGAGGACATTGAAAAGGAGGATAGTGGGAAGATCGGTCGATATGCTGCGGATACTGAAGATGGATATAATGTGGATCGAGAAGATGGATACAGTGTGGATGCTGTAGATGGAGGGGATGATTTGGTCGTTGAGGACTATATGGATTACCCTGGAGATGACCCTGCCAGCGCCAATATGGAAGGTAAATAGAGAAACATTTTTTGTAAAATGTGGCGGGAGATTGTTGTATATATTGTTACCCTAGAATTACAAAGTTCTATTTGCTCAGTACCTAGTTCTGAAAAATTTCTTTGAATTTTTAGTTTCAAAACATATCAGGCTTTTTAAAATGCAATTCCTTGAATATCTTGATAGCGGCTTAGAAAAAACTTACGATTTTGACGGAGCAGATAGAACATTTGGTTTCTGACCTTTTGGTCTGGGTGATTCCAAACGCCCCAAACATGTCAGATAAAACTTTGTTTTTCTAAGGTAGCGATGTGTACGGCATCGTGGTGAAATCAGGCGCTCGTCAAAGTAATGAAAGCGAAGAACATATTATTTTCCGCAGGTTCAGCAATTTTTAATAAAACATTTTGTTTTGGACTGAACACCTTTCAGGTCCATTAAAAATAACCACTCATATTTTTGTGTAGATTTCACCTAAAAATGTTGACCAAAGGCATACGATTAGTTAATTTGTAATTTTCAAAGACACTAGGCTTTGCTTTGAATCCACCTAACTTTAGGGGCCATTTTTCTCGCTAATGTGACCTCTCACATCAGCGACCCCAATCTCGTTCAATCGCAAATATTTTGACTTTTATTCAAGGTTGATAGATATTTTTTCTGATTAAAATCAAGACGAAAGACTTGGCTTTAAAGTGAAGCCAATAACTCCATATGCCTCAAAATGACGAACGCCCGATTCCAGCGCGTCATGACACATGTTGAAAAACTTGTGGGACGTGATTCAGGTCATGGGGTGTGTGGTTTTTGTGCGTGCGTGCGTGCGTGCGTGCGTACGTGCGTGCGTGCATGGGCGTGTGTTCATAGGTGAATGCATCTCCGGAAACGCTTATTAGTTTATCTCTGTAGCTTCTGTTTTAACACAAATTACGTGGTAAATCTGTTTGTTGCAAGTAATTGAACTTCTTTTCACCTAATATTTCCCATTGGCGCTCATATGACCTTATGCAGTTGCGAGCGCCGTAAAACCTCTACTAAAACAAATAATATTTCCCCGTGGGTGGTTGGTGGGTGCTCTGGTGTGGTTTGCTTGGTATTTCCTATCAAACATCTATCGTTCTTCTCCCTCCTTCTTCTTTTCTGTTTTAGTTACTCTCTTGTAACGAAAGAGTAACATGGATGGGCACTGGGAATAGCAGAGTGAGCAACGACAGTTCGCGACCGTAAAGGATTGAGGGCTGTTACACGTCAACCTCTGAGTCAGAGATGATACCTCCAGGCACTCTCTTGTAACACCTCTAATCTTCGGCACTTACATGACGTCATTGTGTTGCAAGTCCAATAAAACTCTTAATAATTATAAGACTAAACTATTAGCCGGGACAAGCTTCAGGCTGTGCAAGATTTTAACGCTTACGAAAACATAATATTCCCCATTCATTTTTGGCACGTTTGAGCCCATCTCTCTGTACCTACGACGCGTCTTTTTGCTATTAGTATTATCAAGTGCCAGATCTGCAGCAGACATCGGTGATCATGGTTGTCTATTCATTCCTTTGCTTAAATGATCTCAAGAAAGCTACGTTACCCTGATCTTTCCCCGTACCCGTTTAGGTTCTCTAAGTAGGTTGCTCTGGGCCTACCCCTTCCTCGTTTTACCTTCAATTTTGCCTTTGAGAGATAAATGTTCCAGACCACGACGTGTCTGCAATCCTTCATTCAATATCCCCACAGGTGTCAGCTGTGTGGGTGACAGGCTATTCTTCGTTGGAAAACGGAAGACTCGAATTCAATTCCGGAGTGTTAAATTTTTTATATTTTTTTTCGTTTGCTTTTTTGTTTTGTTGGATTTTTTTTCTAAAATCCTGTATTGCCTATCTGTTCTTTGGTATGTCGTATCTCATTAAACCAGGATTGTCCCTCTCGCTCAGGCAGGATCGAAGTAGCCCGCCTCCTAAATTACTTAGATTCTTCCAGTGGGGGCTTAAAACACTAACACTTATTGTTATTACAGCCCCTTCTCCAGCTGACCTCAAGGGGCGCCTCCAGAAGTCCGCGGATCGTCTGCTCAGGGCAGGGAAGTCGCCAGGTCTCGTGTTTCTCATTACTATAAAGGCTTTTTGCCGCCACGTCATCCCGGCACGTCCCTGCTCTGACGTCACATATTACGTCACACACGCTCACCTGTCATGGACCCACACGATTATAATGTTTTGTTCACACACGTGCGACGCACACTACAACTTGTTTGTCACTCCCACATATACTGATTTAAATCGTTTACACACATGTGTACGCAAACTTTTTTGCTCACTCCCATATTATGCACTAACGGACATCCATAAGTACACTACACTTTTTACAAAGCCATACGTATAATATCCACACACACTCTTTAACGAAATCATATTTTTTTCAACGTTTACATGTTAAATGCATATATACGCATGCACACAATCATACGTATATCCACACACGTCCCTGCTCTAATATAATGTATTACATCACACACGCACACCTGTCTTGGACCCACACGACTATAGTTTGTACACAAATTTGCACACTTTTTGCTGACTCCCAAATTCAGACGTACGTACATCATGTACACACATACGCACAATTTTTTGCTCACTCCTTTTACTAATTTGTTATATCATTTACACCCAGACACACACCTTTTTGCTCACTCCCATATGTACTGACGTTCGTCCATACGTGCATTTTTCATTCAGCCATACGTATCACTCACATTCAATAACGAACTCATCGTATTTTTTTCACGCATGAACACGTATTTCTTTTAAATACCCATACTTGCTTCCCCTCACATATACGCGCGCGCATGCGCACGCGTACACACACACACACACACACACACACACACACACACACACACACACACACA